TTATATAAGAAATTAAATAAGGAATAATATAAAAAAATTATAAAATATGAATATTTATATTATATATTTATATATTATAAATATAAGATAAATTCTAGTTCTAATTCTTAATATTAATTTTAATATATCGATGAATATATTATAATATTACGAAGATTTTAATCTTAAAATATATAATTAAATTTCAAAATTTATTTTCAGATAAAAAATCAATTTTATATATAAATATGCAATTCAAATTATTGAAATACATTTATAATTCGAATTTTTGTCAGAAATTTAAATTTCACTGATCAAACAGGGATTCGATAGCTCGCATGCACCTTTAAATAACGGTTTACATCCAGCTGTCCCTCATTTTATACAGATCTCTACTGTACAATAGGGGTTGTAGACCCTTTGACGCTTTTATGGAACGCATAGCTGGGTTTGAACATATGTGATATTTTTTAGCAATGCTGGTTGTCATAGTGAAAACGAGCTGGATTATTAATAATATATGACATGTATTAATTATTTATCAAGTTTTTAGTTTTTCTCATTATTTTTTTTTCATTAGAAAGTGATCTTAGAAAAATGCACACAGAATAACTGTACGCGAAATTAGCATTGACATTTTAATAACAACTACTATCTACTAACATCATTTTATAAAACTAATATCATATGTATTAATGCATGCATATGATATTCATATCCACATATATTCTAATATATAAACATTACATGTGCAAATTAATGATTACAATTGTACTTTCTTTTGCTCCTTGTAGTACATAATCTCACTTTCTATAAGAATCATTAAGAAAACTTTAAGTGATATATATAACTTAAACTTTAAATATATAATTAGATAGAATATATTTTTTAACCGATTCTATAATGTGATTAAGAATAATAAAAGATTTTTCATATAATATAATATATTACAAGGAACTTATTATCACACTTAAGAGATTTCTACATCCAAATATTATCCATTTAGAATATATTAGTAATTAAATTCTAAAGAATAAAATTATTAATTCAAGAAATAATTATTAAATGGGAATCAAAGAACGAAACATACTAAGTTATACATTATATTTCTTTTTCAAAGCATTTTAATCATGATCATGATCAGAAATTACAATCTCATAAAACATAATTTCTTGTATTGTAAATATTTTTTTTATTGTAGATAAATTTATTTAAAATTCAAAAAAATTATCACTTAATCTATTATAATATAATTATAATGCAAGTATAAAATATTCTTTAATAAATTAATAATATATTACAATATATTATTCTCAATATTTTATAAATTTTTAATTTATACAATCATTTCATATAAATATGTAAATGGTAACAAATTTTTAATAATTTGCAACAAAAGAATACTTGCATGATCAATTTTAATAACAATTTACATGATTAAGTCTCGAATTTCCAATCAAATTAAATCAATATTTAAGATCTAAAAAAAACGAGCTAAATGAATCATTCATGTATAGAGCAATACGGCACACTCATCACTGAAAGTATTTTACGCAGATGTTCGGAGCGGCGCGTGCCCCTAGATCCGGTGGTGGTGGAAATGCCTCTTCGGTCTGTTTTCACAGGGGGGGAAATCGACCCCCACGTGTACATACGTGCACATGATAGAGACTCGGGAGTCACACCTGGCTTTTAAAAATAGCATTGGCGTGATTTCGTGGCATCGGTATAAAGTATATACGTATACATATATATATATATATATATATATATATTCTTTTCTCTAAAAATTTACAAATCTTTTTTATATATTTTTTTTATTATTATTTTTTTAAATATGAAAATTAATTATATAAATATAGAATATTTTTTATTTATATATTTGTATTTCAAGAGCGAATATTAAACACAAAATAATTTAAATTTTTCCATAAACATAATATATTCATGTTCCTTTTTATTTTGCTAATATATATAATAATAAAAATCAATGTAGGTATATTAATAATAATAATAATAATTAATGTTTTGCAATTTCTTTTCCTAAACAATTAATTGAAAGTTTTAATTATTCTAGGAATCGAAATATTTATATTCAATTTATATTCAATAGCGCTACATTTGAAAAAACTAGTTAAATTGAATTTCTATTCACGCTATCGCATCCCACGAAGAATGCACCTAGTTACGCTTTGGCGGTTACACATGGATTATACATACTAGAGCACAGAAGGGTACACGTACTGGATAGAAATATGCACCCTGTAAAGGCGACAAAAGAGAAGGGGAGGAGCTTTATTTTCATACGAGTTGGCTTACGAGCTCGAGGCGGGAAGGGAGCGCGACTTATGGAAGGAAGTCGGAAGCGACCCGATCCAAGTCAGTCGTTCGCGAAACATCAATACGTTTAGATCGATCGATTCAAATGCATTCAAATAGATTATCGATTTATTACATAAATTTCGAACAATCTCAATATGTTATATATATTATAAATATTTGCTAAACATAATATTTTGCTAAATATAACTACGCAAAACGTGAATAATATTTAACGACAAAACAAAATGGATTTTAAATTTTTTTATTAAAAATTAATCATTAAATTATTTAATGTCATAATGATATATTTTTAAAGTTTTTAATTAAATTTTATAAATTATAAATTTAATATTCTTATATTTTTATTGGATATTAAAAAGTGTAATTTGAATAAAAATTGTTTAAAAAATACAATTAAAAACGAAAGAAATAAATGCAATGAAAGTGTAAAAAAAAATTCTTGATATCAATGCGAAAAACGATTGGATTCTTCATGGGGGTTGCATCGGACACCATACGGTTCTTCGAGCACGCGACTTGTAGGAGGGTCGTTCCACTCTACTGAGTCGTGAAACCACCCTAGTGTGCTATCGCATTGTTTTATCCATCGAAATTTTCTAACCAGCTTTTAAATATTTTAACCAATTTTTATTTTAACAAATTCAACACTGAAATCTTTACAAAAAAAAAAAATTAGAATTGCCGCGAAAGTTGGTCGAGGAAAGTGAATAGAAAGGATGAGTGCATTCAAGAGACATCAAAGCAAAGTGTTCTGGAATCACATGGCGTCTCAGGATCTAGAAAGTCTGGATCCTTTCGCCTCGAAAAACGATTTCACCAAAGTCAAACAAACTATCGCACATAATTTCGAAATAGCCGAAGAGGAAGAACATTCGTCCAGCATCAACGATACCAGCGATACGATCGATAGTGAAAATGTAACAGCTATTCGCGTCTGTCCAAACGAGAACAATGAACAATATTCTATGACAACGATTCATGAAGGAAATATAATGATTCAAACGTAAGTAAAATTATTATTTTATCGGAATAATTATTTTAATTATTTATTAAATAATTATTTTAATCGCAATAAAATTTGTGATGTTGTAAGTTTACTCATTCGAGCACGTTTACTCATTTATTATCAGTTCTTCCTTATCACATTGACACACAACACTACTTTCATACCGCTGCAACTTTAATTACTTCAGAACCATACGATAAGTTTTCAAGCGTTTAAACTATTTAAGAATTGCTCTATAACTTTGGATTGTATTCGTGGAAGACATCGATACCTTTATTCTCGCGTGTAATTCTTTTAATCATAACAATGCTTGATAAGTTGAGCATTGTTTCCATGTTTAAGTGTTATCCTTTGTTCTGTTGTAGGTTTTGTATCTTTTTATATACGTTTACTTTTATAAAAAAATTTTTATATTTTTATATAAGTAATATATTTTTATATTTAATATGTTTTTTTATAAAAAATATTCAACATATTTAATGGAATAGATAA